CTTAAGCTATTTCTAACATTTCACAAAGCCTAACAGAATTTGTCTAACTTGAAATAGATTGCATGTGCAAATAAAATGTTGGATCTGCTCTTGGTTTGAATTATGTTAACTTAACATGAGAATACTAGACAATTCATGTTGATCAGAAGCTCTGATTGGTAGTTAATTTGCTCTTTAATTAATGAAAAATAGGGAAATAACAAAAACTTGTATCAAGTATCTATCTTGTCTTTTTGATGGGTAAAATCTTTTAAAAGTTAAGGTCTAAGCAGGAGAAATAAGAAAATGACTCCTTGGGAGTCAAGAAGTTTGGAACCAGTGATAATACATGACCTCCCATCTTACAGATGAAGAAACTAAGTACCAAAGAGAGGGAATGACTTTTCCAAGGCATCATTGGTCAGGGACTGATCTGGAATAGAAACCTATAGATATTGATTCCATCTAGTGCTTATCCCTTGATATTAAATGGAGGGTATCTTTATAGTCCATGTTAGGACAGAAATGTAGACAAAGTAACACTAGGTCAATAGTAATTGCTTTGAACTTGCTGTCATAGTGGGAAAGTGGCACAAGATAATCTCTGCTGAGGTGCTACATGATTCTAAGGATGAGCAGTATGAGTAGGTGATGGAGACAGCTACGTACATGGTACTGAAGCCACATACTTTCAAGCCAGGGAAAAAGCCTTCCTGCACCTGCCTGGAATAAAATCTAATTCAAGTTGCAACTCAATCTTCTTGTTTTGAAGTTTTCCTTTTTTTCACTAAAATTCAGATAAAATATGTTTCTCTCTCTCAATTTAATTGCTGTTCTACAATGTAGAGGTAGCTTTCCTCTAGCTTACTTTTCCTTTCTACAAACCTCTAGGCTGTCTATTATCTTTTGTCTTTTCTATATTAGAGCTTGTCGAAGAAAACCTCAAGGGTGGGGGCCAGCCACGTGGCTGAGTGGTTAAGTTTGTGCGCTCCTCTTCGGCAACCCAGGGTTCACTGGTTCAGATCCTGGGCACAGACCTACACACAGCTCATCAAGCCATGCTGTGGTGGCATCCCACATAGAAGAACTGGAATGACTTACAACTAAGCTATACAACTATGTACTGGGGCTTTGGGGAAAAAAAAAAAAGAAAGAGGAAGATTGGCAACAGATGCTAGCTCAGGGCCAATTCTCCTCACCAATAAATAAATAAATAAATAGATAAAAAGAAACATTTGAAAAAAAAAACTCAGGCCAACCTGGTGGCACAGCAGTTAAGTTTGCACGTTCCACTTTGGCAGTCTGGGCTTCACCGGTTCAGATCCTGGGTGTGAACCTATGCACCACTTGGCAAGCCATGCTGTGGCAGGCATCCCACATATAAAGTAAAGGAAGATGGACATGGATGTTAGCTCAGGGCCAGCCTTCCTCAGCAAAAAGACGAGGATTTGTGGCAGATGTTAGCTCAGAGCTAATCTTCCTCAAAAAAAACCCCCATAACTCAAGGGTGCTAGTGGTGATGATACAGCTGGATAGTGAGATATGAGTGTAGTTTTAGTGTTCTAATCTTTAAAATGAACATATATCAATTTTACAAAAGTAATAAAGTAGCCACTTAAAAATAATAGACTTCTTTAAAACAGTTTAAAGAAATCACATAACTCTGCCTTGTTATCAATGAGTCACTTCAGCTTCAATCTTAAGTGCCTTTTATTATATTCATATTGCTTAAAATTTGATATGTAAGTATATATGATAATACACTATTCACCAATCATGCTAAGGAAATGTTATGGTAACACAATGAAAACTATTAATTCCTAGTCCTATTGGTGATGGAGAGAAAGAAGATTAGCATAAATTGCATATGGGCAGGGCAGTATCTGTTTCATACATTGTCATATCCGCAGTGCTTAGCATACCACCTATCATGACAGATTTCCAATAAATATTGGTTGAATGAACAAACAGAACAAGAAAATATATAGGGACTAGCACTATATTCTCACAAAAAATCCGCTAACTGAGGATTGAGCCATCTCTCTCTATTGTCAGTAAACCCAGAAGTAAAATACTCACAGACATAACTACTGCTACTCCAATAAAGTCATTTTGAGGGACAAAGGGTACTTCTTTGATGGGCATGCAAACCTGCATTCTCACTTAAGAACTGGAAAATCAAAACCATTATGATTTGCCCTCCATCAAGGCTTCCCACTCAGAAGTACACAGTTTTAAAAGGAATGCATTTATCCCATCTCAGATTTTTGGTGTGCCTTTTTTTTCTCTAAAGCATAACGAGCTTGTCAGAGTTTCCATGGTGAACATGGGGCACCATGGAAACTGATAGATTTAGCTACATGAAAAGAATAAATAAAATAGGCAGGCATTTATTTCACTGTGTCATGACAACTTCTCTCCTGGATAGGAGAGGAAAGTGACTTCTCATTTAACCTGCCTTGTCCTTCGCTCTCTGTACCCCATGAAACCATGGTATTCTCACTGGATCTTCTTACTGACCTATGCTGATTGGATTGTCCTTCTCCTCAACGTCCATTACCCACTTGGGTTTCACTTCTGGGCAGATCTGTGTGTCACTGGCACACTGTGGACATGGTTGGAAAATCACGTACAATGTGAAAGTTGTAGATGACAACCCACAATGCAGTGACCAAGTGAGTCATGGCAAAATTGAGTGGACATTCTTTGCAATCCACTGTGATGAGACAACGTGTGAGAACAACTAGAGTCAACACCCAGGTCCATCCTCTACTAACTGGACAGGCAAGCCCACCCTCCTGAACCCCAGGTTCCCCATCTGTGAAATGGTTAAAATCTACCCTGGGCCTACTTTATAGGGTCATGGTGAGGCTCAAAATGAGATAGTAGAAGAGAAAGCATTTTTAAACAGTCAAGTTCTGTTTAGTGGGAGGGACCAAAATGTCGAAACTGATCGTCCAAGACTGATCATGTCTTTCCCTTAGGCAATGAAAGGTTTAGAATATACAGGTCCCACCCAGTAATTGGGGAGTTTTGAGACCACGTGGCTCCGTCTGAAGTAGAGAGAAATGTGACCTTAAGAAACAAAGTTCTTCAACTTTTCTGTATGTTTGAAAATTTTCATAATGCAATGTTGGAAAACTAAATAAATGAAATAAAGCTCTTTCGTAGGTTCTAGTCCCAATGGATTGCTCACCATTAGCACACAGGCACTATAGCCTCTTATTTTTTATTGCTAAAATATAGACAATAGAGCCATCTCTTAAAATTCAGTGTTCGTATGAGTCTATTGAGCATCTCCTATTGGTCAGGCACTCTGTTAAGGGGATACAGAGAAAGAAAGAAAGAAGACATGGTCCTTAAGGAGATCACAATCTTCTGGGGGAGATAGACTAGTAAAAGAATAATTATAGCACCCCACAAACTCAGAGGAGGAGCGCTTAACACCTGAAAGAGAGAGGAGTGTAAAGATTTCCTGGACGGTGGTGGGAGTGGGCAATTAAGCTGAAGGGTTTAGCCAGGGGAGAGTGTTAGTAAAATGAGGCAGATGTGGTGTAAGGTGGCCTAAGGGCACCGCAGGCAGACATGTGAGCAGAGCAGATGCACAGTATGTGAGAGACTGGAGGGAGAAGAGGCTGAAGAAGCAGCCAGGGCTTTAGGAAGCATCCATACCAAAAGGAGTCTCTTTTCTTCCAAAGAAGTGATAAGTGAGGTTAGGGTACTGAAAGTGCAGACCAGTGTTGGATTTTCTTCAGAGAAGTTGAGTTGGTGAGGGTTGAAACGAGCCATGACTGACAGGGAATAGTGACACTAGAGAAGAGTAGTGCAATGCCATTGAACAGTGGTCTCTAAGGCTCTTTCTTTTCTATTATCACCTAGATTTCAACATGGGCTATAGAAAAAGCTGAAGAATCAGAACTGCTATTTCCATGAGACTTTGGAGGCACAATAAGTACCATTTGTTGCATACTTTGCCCTGGTCAGAAGAACAGTATTAACCAGAAGCTGGCTTGCTATGTGCTTGGGCTATGTTTCAAAGAGGAATATAAGAGCTCTGTTCTCCCTTCTTCCTCCAAACCTCAGCAGCCTGGAGAGCATTTCCCTGGGATACCAGGATGGCAGTCAGAATTGCAGGAGGGCCCACAATTTAAGGGAGTCATCAAGTTTGAGGGGAGAGAATGGATGAGAGTAGTCGGGAAGCCAAGATTTCCCACATGTGGCTGAGCAGAGGGTACCAGGTCCTGCAAGAAGCAGCTACAAGTTGCCTGGGAATGGAAGCAGAACTGTGCACTGTGTGGAAGAGCTAACAGTGACCTGAGGAGTGCTGAGCCCTTGTTACCCGGATGCACCACCATTCCTTCTGGTTAAGAAGATTCGCTTTAATTAAAGCTACACAACAATGACTCAATCCATCAACCACATGTAACAACATCAATAAACATCAAAACAAAATTCCCTAGCAACTTCATTACCTCAACAGAACTGTAGCCATTGTTTGGTATAGCTTGTCACTTCTAGCCTATATGCCTACAGGCTTTTCATGATTTTAACCAGAATATAAATGCCATTTTGAAAAATTTGATATTTTATTATACATAATTTCCACATGGCCCCATATCCATATTTCCCTTATTGTTTTTAATAACTGCATGATATTCTACAGCATAGATATATCCTAATTCACTAAACTAGTCTCAATTGTTGAACATTTAGGTGACTTTCATGAAAAAAAATATTAGCTGTATCTATTGTAGGGAACTAGTACATCTTTTAGAAACATTTACTTGACTCGTCTTTTGCACTAACAGCCAGACATTTTCTTCATTTTTCTTTCTGAGTCTGTGTGTGCACAAGCCCAGGTCAAGAGGACGTTTTCAGCGTTGGGACAAGGAAGAGTGTGGTCTGTGGAATCAGGAGAAAGTGACAGGGAGAAACGGCTAACGTCTCCAAGAGGCACGTTCAATGCTCTGAGCTTCAGGGCTTCCGAATCTGAGTCCCTGGCAGGGTGTCAGCCACCTCACGTGCTGGAACTGAGGAGTTTCCTGGACCTCCAGACTTTCAGTTCTAACATCAGGAACCTTTCCTATAAACCAGGATGAGCTGGTCACCCTAGACCTTGCTGCGGGGGAGGTGAAGGAACTAAGAGGAGAGTGAATCATTTATATAAGCTGGCTCTGTGTCAAAAAAACAACAATTCAGAGAAAGCCTGCTCATGCACTGCAATAAAACCCTTATCCTTCCAGTAGGAGCTCAAACAGGTGTTTATCTCAGGTTATTGCTCTGCTCCTAGAAAAACCATTCATTCATTTATTCAAAAAATACAACAGGCACTGTTCTAGGCGTAAGACCCCTGTTCTTGTGGTGTTTCCATTCCATTTCTGTGTGTGTGTGTGTATTGGGGGAAGGGAAGCAGAAATAAACAAAAAAAACCCCACCATGAAATAAATGTGGATGGATATGATAAATGCCATGGCAGAAATAAGATGGATTAACGGAATAGAAACTGCCTGAGGAGGGTGGGTGTGCTACTAGCTTAGTGGCGGGGGAAGGTTACTCCAAAGAGCTGACATGTGAGGCAAACGAGTGATGACAAGAACCGGCCACGTGGACATCCAAAGGAGGCATAAGGGGCAGACAGAACAGCATGTGCAAAGACCCTGAGTGGAAACCAGTTGGTCTTCCTGGAGGAACTTAGTAAAGGATTTTGTGGGTGTAGTGTAGGGAAGGGATGCTGACCTAGAAACAATCTTAGCAACCATCCAATCCAAGTTCCATTTTCACAAATGAGAATGATAAGGATGCTGAGGCCCACCTGTGTACCGTTCTTAATCCAGCACTCTTTTCACCAGGCCATACCACAGGGCCATTCCTAGCTACTTGGCTTGAGTACTTAATTTTCTCCCCTTGTACAACCGGAAGTAAATCAAAGAGATTCATCTATTTTAGGTCTGAGAAAAATTGGAATTGGAATTGTGGATGGACACAAGGGGCAAAACACTGGCCTCAAGGTGAAGAGAGGAACGTTGGAATCCAGATTGACCTCCAGCAGTGGGGTCCCCAGTAATTCTGTAAGGCATGCTTCTAAAGCATCAGGTTAGGACAAATTCTGCAGTCCATAGAAAGTGAAAATGAAACTGATCAGTACGGAAAGCAGCCCTGTCTGACTTTACACCGGTTCCTGAACTTGTGTCAGTTCAGACCGGGTGGGTGCTACAGGGTGAAGAGGTCCAGGGTTCAGCCACCAATAGCCCTAAGAGTTTACAGAAAAAGCAGGCAGACGCAACTTTAGGTGTGCCGACTAAAGACAGGGGGAGGAGGTAAGGGGGCAAAGAGCAAAAGCAAATTTGGTGACCAATTAAAGATACAGGGCTGGAACCATCGCCTCCCCCAGCTCCTTCCTTTATCTCCCGCCCTCTGGGTGAGTGACTCAGCCAGGTTAAAAGAAGCGCAACGTGAGCGGTGATTTTGGAAACTCAGAGTTAAGATATCAAAAACTAACGCAGGGGAGGAGACAAAGACCACACCCCACGGGTGCGCGGAGCCAACTCGAGGGAGAAAAATCCTATTGGCGTCGAAGAGCTAGGGTGCCAGCCCCTGGGCGTGGTCTGCAAGGCGACCACGGCAGGCAACCGTCCGGGAAAGCGGGGGCAGTACGGGCCCGCTCCGCAGCCACCCGCGTCGCAGGAAGTCTAGCCGCGCCTTTGTCCGGTGCACCCTCCTTGGCCTCGGACCCTGCACTGCGCTTCGCCGCTGCCATGTGTGCCGCCCGGATGCCAGCCCTGGCGCACATCTTCCGAGGGACGTTCGTCCACTCCACCTGGACCTGCCCCATGGAGGTGCTGCGGGATCACCTCCTCGGCGTGAGCGACAGTGGCAAAGTAAGCGGGCGCGGGGCTGGCGCACCCCGACGGGCGGGCGGCCAGATGGAAAGAATAAGGCGCAGCGCGCTGCGAAGCCCGGAGTTCGCTCAGCGCTGAGCAAGCGCCGCGGCTCCGGACTTGAACTTGAGTGGCGGCTCTCAGGGAACCACAGGGGAACCTGGTTCCTGGGCTGATCTGGGAGTAATGTGTTCCCAGAAGCCAGGAGCCATGGAATACTCGCACTCACGACTGGTTCAACAGCTGTCCAGGCTGCAGTGGAAGGGCAAGAGGCTGTGCCTGCCCCTCCGACCCCCAGTCTTAAGAGATCATTAATAAACCAGAACCTTGCTTAAATTCATCTTTGGCTCCTGGCACAGCACCTGGCACTGGCTAGGCGCTCTGTAAATTTGATTGAATTTATTGCAAAAGAGTTAACAGAAGAGAGGTCATTTGATCAGTGTTGTTTAGCCCGTTCAGTGCGTAGAATAAAGAAGTGATTTCATTCGCCTGATCATTCAACTGAAACAGTATACTAATGATTCAGGCTAGACAACTTGTGATACTAGAAAGGATAGTCTGAGAGAAATTATCCCTCTGCTACGCACACCCATAGCCATTTGCATCAAAGCAAATAGTTCCATTTTAAGGTTCAAAATGTCTTCTATGAATGTATCTTCTACACTTCTTTTTCCAAAATCAGGATTTGTACAAATGACGGGGGTAACTTGTTGTCTAATATTTACTGTTCCATACAAAGTCGTGGTAACTGTATCAGCAGTAGCCTGGCCAATTTGATAAGTGAAAGCCATTCCATTTCTAGAAGAAAAAATAAAGATGGCAATGGGATATTTTTTAGCTTTTCCTCAACTATCAGTTTGGTTAGCAAAAGTACATGTCTGTGACTTGTCTGCTTGAAGATACTATTCCTACTAAAGAAGCTTCTGAGTCAGTGACAAGTTTCGATTCCTGACTGTTACATTTGGGGATAACTAAACTGTGTTTTCTTATGGTGCTTAAAAAAAAAATTGTCTCTGTGCATCTTCAGGGAGCCTGCTGTTGTGTTTCCAAGGTGATCAGACTCTCAGAGCGGCCCTAGACTGGAGGACTCCAATAAACCTTGAGACCGATGAATCATTTGCTTGGGTCCTTGACTGTCAAGTTCCAGGGAACCCTTGCGATTGGGAAATCCCTAGAAGCAGAGGAACAGAAACTACTAAACTGAGGAAAGATGAGAGGAGTTTGCCTAATCACAAGGAGCTGCTCAAGTCTTAGTTTTCTTTGTTAAAGTTAATTTCCCACGTCCAGAGTGTTAATTAATAGGGTAGCAGGCGAGAGGTGAGTTTGAGGACTGGCTCTAACCAGTAGAGAGGAGTAAGGAAAGGAAGTAATTTATCTAAAAAACTTCCCTTTCTGGGGATTGTACAGAAGAATAAAAAAGTGTCCCAAACATGCAATTGGTGCTTGAGTCAGGGCGTCTATTCCTGACAAGGAGCAAACTGAGGTTATAAATTTAGAAAAATGCCATTCCCCTGCAAGACAAAATTAACCAGGCATTGGACACAAAAGTGCGTTAATCAAGTGGCTTAGATGTACCACTCAAAGCTCCCTAGTCAGTGAACTGGTAACTGATCATTGCTCTCCTCGTAGGTTCAGGGCAGTTGATTCCTGACTGTGTATAAACAGAGGACATGTCATATATATGTCATGAATCAATTTCCTCTATTTTGAAAGTGGGAATCCCTCACCCTTAGAGTTTCTGGGATAAATATCTTTTTTATTTAAAGACTTACAAAGGTATAAACAGAAAATTATGTCCCCGTGAAATACATAAATACGAGGAATCATTGTGATCTTTACATTTTTACTGAGCTCCTAAAGCTGTTCTCAAACTTTGGGATGAGTCAGAAACATCTAAGGGGACTTAAAATGCCAGTTCCTGGGCATCATCCTCAGAGAATGAATCCGTCGGCCTGGAGTAGGCCCCAGGAGGTGGCATTCCAACAGAGGCCCCAGGAGATTTGGATGTATGTTATGAGTGGATTACGTTTTAGGTAACTGCAGTAATATAGGTTGTATGATGGAACCAGTTGTGTGGGGTCTTGGGGCTCAGTTCTCCATTTCAAGCCCAGGTCTGGGGTAGCATCTCAGAGAGAAGGATGAGATTTCCTCTGTCCTTCTCTCTCTTCCTTCTAGACCTCAGCCCTCATTCCATATAACTTCATTTAGGCCCAGAGAATTAGGATGATTAAGTACCTTTAATAAATTAATTAAAGCTCATTCAAAATTAGGCTAATTAAAAAAATTCTCTAGTTATCGTTTTAGTATTGGGCATTTTGAATTCACAGTTAGTTTTTCTACTCAAGTGGCCTGTAGCTTTTTAAAAGAAAGATTGCAGCATGTATAATTCATTTGCAGATATTTAATTAATCTTGACACACTGTGTGCTCAAATATTACTAAATTATCTGATTCTTTCCACATATAACAGGGTCAGGTTGACTTTACAGATACATAAAGATGCCTTGGGTCTTTTAGTGCACTCTTACAGGGAAGCAACAGTGAGGAAGAATACCATTTTGGGGGTAGTGCCCTGGAGTGGCAGGAGAAAGTCCTGTGGAGAAACAGAGTACTGAGTTCAAGTCAAGTCTGCACCACTTACCTTCTTTGAGACCATGGGAGAGACATTTAACCTCTCTGAGCCTCAGTTTTCTCATTTGTAGAATCAGATTTACTATTGCTGAGTATTAAATGAGATGATGTATGAAAATGCCTGGCGCTTAGTGGATGCTTAACACATACACGTGTTATTGAGCAAGGGTTCGATCTGCTCGCTACAAGACAAAAGCCAATCAGTCCAGAGGCAAGGTGGTGGAGAGAAAGAACTTTAATAAGCAGTAAGTTAGCAAATTGGAAGATGGTGGACTATCATCCAGAAAAAAACATCTTAAAGGGGAACTGATTTGGAGAGGACTTATATAAGGCAAATGGGATTGGGGAGGGGGCTCAGGAGTGTCAGGTGATGGTTGACCACAGAACATTGGGAGCTTCTCTGTAGCAGATCTGCTGAATACAACATTGCTGAGGAATCTAAGAAAACCTCAGTTACTTCCTTATCTGGGACAGAAGGATAACTTTGGACAGAGGACATAAATTTTCTGCTAACAAATGATTAAATGATTCTTTCTACTGGCTACAGATTAGCTTGCCTACATGCAGTTCTAAGCATTTTTCCAAAGCATACTGTGAGAATAAGATGGGGAGGGGGAGCATGTGGCCTTGGGGGCTGAAGTTCTAAGAGTCCTCTGCACAGGGGCAACTGTCTTTCATATTTCTTCATAGGTTGCATGTGCAAATTCAGGGGGAGGTTCTATGTATTGCATCTGGTGGATTTTTAGTCTGTGACGTGTAAAGCTTACAATTGGTCATTTTAGTTTCTCATTGCTCCTGTGAGATGCTTAGTTAGGTGGAGGACTGTCAGCAAGCTACTCTCTTTATCAGCAGTCCTCCTGCTGTTCTGCAAAGCAAGCTCAGAATCTTTGATTACTTTGTTTCCCATGTTAACCTTGTTGGTACAAGGATGGTTTCACCCTAATCCAGGGAAACTTCAACTCCTTCATCCTTGGTTTCAGTCCCCACTGTCTTATGATCATTCCTCAATCTTGGGGACTAGGGGGGCACAGACCACTCCAGCTGTTTCCTGCTGTGAAAGGACAAAGATCAGGGTCAGAGGAATGAAACTGTTCTACCTTTATTTTAAATATTTTTGGGTACCAGGTGGAGAGAGTGAGATATGCTTCGCATGACTAATATTTCAGCCCTCTAATCAGTGACTTTGAAACAACATTTAAGTCCACATTTTATAATTACATGGCTGATCATACATATTAGCAAAATAGACAGCCCAAATTTTAGTATTCCCTCCATAATGGACCTTAGTCCTTGGGGAATCCAGGAGAAGACCAATCAAGGTTAGTGCCTAGGACCTCAGGTGAAATCTGATGTAGCCAAGTAGCCTGTTGTTTAATAGTCCAACAAGTAAGGTAAGAACCCTGGAGTCACTCATTATTTATCTTTAGAAGAATGTCTTCTGAACAGCAACTTTCATTCTGTCAGGGGTCCATTGTCCTTTCAGGAAAGTCAGTGTCTAGAGTATGAAGCCAGCCAAGGTTTGGGTGATCCCAATTGTGATGTTCTATGGCATGTTCCCATTATCTGTGGCATTTCTTCTGTGATCCCATCTTGTGCTTCCAGGATTTTAATAGGACCCAGTCACCACGACAAATATAGCACAGAGGAACATCTGACAGTGCCTAGCTCCTTAATTGGAGTTCTCTCCAGGATCATCTCTAGAACATAGGAAGGGTCCCCCAAATTGGCTTATGTTGTGTAAGTAAGGAACCAAGCACTTAATAAGAAGCACTTCTAGAAGAAGAAGAAGAAAAAGAAGGTTATTGATTGAAGCAAATTATAAACCAATTTCTGAGCCGAGGGGACAGTCAGTCAGGAAGATCTCTAGGTGTCAGGGTTGAAGCATCCCCTGCCATTCAAAATGTCTCTGATGATGTCATCAAGCATTCAGGTAAACCTTTCGACTGGCTTGCACAGCAGCAGGTGTGAAGATTGTCCAAACATGCCCATCATAGTTTTCTTTCTTAGATTTATATTAAACTGTCTAGCATCGGTTTTTAGGGCTTCAGGGAAAAGGGTGGTTTTAGTTCTCAATGATTACAAATGAAAAGGACAGAACAAAATTGAAAATGTTAGGAGATCTGTACCAGATATTTGAGGAAACTAGAAGAATTCAGGATCCAGTCCAGTTTACAAGTAGAAAACAAAAGCCTCAAGATAATTAACAGAACCAGAATCCAACATCCACAAATGTGTATTATAATTTCTATCAAAACATAATTTTTCTCCCCAAAATCACCCTCATTTTACCAAAGATAGCCAAATTAAGACTCATTGTTTTGCAAAGCAAGTCTAGTTGCAATAAACTTGGCCCAGTTATTTACTTAAGTACAGCAAGAAGAGCAATTGAGGGGCCAGCCCCATGGCCTAGTGGTTAAGTTCAGTGCACTTCTCTTTGGTAGCCTGGGTTTGGTTCCTGGACATGTGGACCTACACCACTTATCAGGGGCCATGCTGTGGTGGTGACCCACATACACATTAGAGGGCAATTGGCATGGATGTTAGCTCAGGGTGACTTTTCCTCAGCAAAAAAAAAAAAAAAGCAATTGATCATATATGTTCTTTTAAGTCTGCTTTGCTGGAACTTTTTATAAGGAATCTTAGATTGAACTTTGAACTTTATAGGCCTCTCAAGGTCAAGAAAGCCAGACCAAGGGCTTGTCATCAGACTCTGCTTGCTATACCTGCAGATTTTGGTGAATTCCTCTCTCCTTGAGGTCTCCAAAATATCCTAAGGTTCTTTGTACCTGCCAGGAGAGTGACTTTCTTTACTCATCTGATAAAGTTGTTGGGAACCCTGTAAGTAATTAGCAGACCAACATTTCTGAGTGGCTTTATTCCATAAAGTCAACCTTCGTTCCTCAAAAGCTGTCTTGTCATATCTGAGCCTGTGCATGTTTCTCTCAAATATGACATTCCAGTCAAAGTCTTGGTAATATAACTAATGTTTCCAATTGTGTCTTATTATAAGGAGAACAGATTCTTATTGAACTTATTCAAATAACTATATTGCCATGAATATAAGAATATTCACTCTTTAAGAATTTTCAAATTCTGGAGAGATCAGATAGGGAGAGAAAGATGAATGTTTCAATTCTGTTTACAAATTGCTTTAAGTCATAGTTCCTTAAGAGAAAAAGGTTTTCTTTTTTATTTTTTAAAGATTTTATTTTTTCCTTTTTCTCCCCAAAGCCCCCCGGTACATAGTTGTATCTTCTTCATTGTGGGTCCTTCTAGTTGTGGCATGTGGGACGCTGCCTCAGCGTGGTTTGATGAGCAGTGCCATGCCTGCGCCCAGGATTCGAACCAACGAAACACTGGGCCACCTGCAGCAGAGCATGCGAACTTAACCACTCGGCCACAGGGCCAGCCCCGAGAAAAAGGTTTTCTTAAATCTGGAAAAACAAAACCTTTTAAAAAGTCAGCAATATTTCAAACAAAAAGTCATAAAAATTATAATCATCCCCATCAGTTTATTTAGTTCTCATGATAACAACTCTTGATCTCCTGTTAGCAGTTTCATGAGGGCATCAGTTTCTCCATTACAATTCTGTAATTTCTTATCCAGCTCAGTTTTATGATATGAAAGTTTGTCAGAAACCTGTATTCTTTTTGTTTTTAAAGATTGGCCCCTGAGCTAACATCTGTTGCCAATCTTATTTTTTCCCCCTTTTTTTCTCCCCAAAGCCCCCCAGTACATAGTTGTATATTCTAGTTGTAGGTCCTTTTGGTTGTGCTATGTGGGATGTCACCTCAGCATGACCTGACAAGTGGTGCCATGTCTGCACTCCAGATCCAAACTGGTGAAACCCTGGGCTGCTGAAGCAGAGTGTGCAAACTTAACCACTTAGCCATGGGGCCAGTCCAGAAACCTGTATTCTAGTGCAAGTGTCAGAGTACTTTCTATGACTCTCTCTGAAGATGAAATATATTTGCAAAAACAATGCGCATAAAACAACTGTCTGCAAATAACAAAACATTAAAAAATGACAATTGATAAAGACTGTGACATATAACACTTTGAAATAATAACCAGAATTGTGATTGATAACCAGGACAGATCAGAATTTTAAGAATGTTGTATAATTAAAAAAAAAACACACATAATAACATTTACCTACACAATATAACCCAGGAAGATTTATAATTATTTGTTTGATGATGCTTCCCATATAACTTGTCATACCAAATAAGTTTAATTAGTTTAACATTTTCCTTTTTATAGGAAGAGAGAACAAATTCTTTGAAAAGTCCCAGGGCTGATTAGAAATTCCCGAAGTTTTCTTTTTAAGTCAAAAGAAAGACTTTACCCAGAATTCAAACCTTGGGGGAAGTTTGTCAAAAATATTGAAAGGGTTTAAAACACTTGGTCAAATAGGAAATGATGCTTAGTTATCCATTCAATCAAGGTGACAACAGGGGCCGGCCCTGTGGCCAAGTGGTTAAGTTCAAGCACTCTACTTTGGTGGCCCAGGGTTTTGCCGGTTCAGATCCTGGGCATGGACATGGCACTGCTCATCAGGTCATGTTGAGGTGGCATCCCATATAGCACAACCAGAGGCACTCAGAAGTAGAATATGCCACTATGTACCAGGGAGCTTTGGAGAGAAGAGAAAAAAAAAGATTGGCAATGGATGTTAGCACAGGTGCCAATCTTAAAAAAAAAAAATCACAACAGAAATAATAATTTGAAAAAAACCTTAATAGAGAGACCTCAGTATTTTTGAACATAGGAAATTATTTTAACAAAACATAGGTTTTCTGTCTTTTAGGTAAACTTACTCAAAGTTAAAGAAAAACCTTTATAACCTCTATATTAAGAGCAGACCAAAAGTTCAAGAAAGTTACCTTTTTAAGAGAAAGAAAGCCTAATTCCAATTTTGCACCAGTGTACTTTTGATATTGAAACTCATTCATTTAATTGAATTCATTTTAATTTCAGCCAACTTGACGTTGCACAAAACTTCTCAGGGTTTTACTTCCACAAATCTTCTGTCACTGGCTTTTTACATTCAGAATTTGTCCCATGCTTTCTTTCCTTTTTTCTTTCCTTGTACTTTAGGACAAGTTTATCTTTCTTAACAAAAGAAAAATACCTCTATTCTTTACATCTTCTTTACTGAAAACATACATTTTACTTTCCTTGTATACAGAGTTTTAAGAAATATGTGCTTTCTCACAGAAAATTCCCCAGCATAGCACAGAACACGTTCATCAATAAACCTAAGCATCCTTCAGTTTCTCTGAGGTTAAGAATCCAAAGGCAGACAAATCTGTTTAGTAATCAATTTCTAATATTTTATTTTATGTGGAAATGATCTAGATACTCAAAAAATTTTTATCATTGAATTTAGTTTAGCAAAACTCTAAAGTTTCAAGTTACCAAAAAGATTTTAGAAGCTGCCTTTCAAGCACACAGACCATAAAACATAATTATTGTGCCCCAAAATTCTCACCCATTTTCATCTATCTAAATCATTTTTCTTAACAATTATGTTTAGATTACTCCTAAAAAACTTCATGTGACATTGAAGCAGTTAGCAGTTATCTTAAGTTGTTTTAAGTACGTATACTACAGTACAAAATTACTGTTTGAAAAGTTCCCCCCAAAAGCTTTATCTTTTTCACATCCATTAGTTTACCTGTTCCCAATAATTATAGTAGATTGTCAAAACCCCCATGAGACATCAGACAAAATCAACTATTATTCTAAGTTATTTTTGCTGACAAATTTTGTAACAGAGATAACATGTCTGGACCATATCCAATGCTGATAACTCTGAAAACATGTTTGTTTCAATTAAATCAACAAACTTTTAAACAAGATTTCATTTACCAAAGATCATTTTATATCATGTTAACGTGAAAGATATCTGGGCTAGTTTCTATTACATGTAGAAATAATTTCTACAAGCACTTACTTCAAGCCAATTAAATAAAGATCCTTTAGAAATTATACCATCTGGAGGCAGCCAAATACATCTGGACACAGATAGACACAAAACAGAGGTCTTCAACATTTTAACCAGGTACAAAACTCAGAACAGTTGGATCCAAATTGCTCCTTGGCAGACAGACCTGTTCAGATGGCTATAGATCTTTTACTAAAGATTCTTTTCTTTTTACTGTAAGGATCCTTTTTAGAGCTGTTTTTGAAATCCTTTTGCTTTTAGAAGTTTCTGCATATTAATCAAAGATTATATTCCATTGTGAGAGGTTTTGAATCCTCTCTTTTAAGGATGTCCCCTTAAGGTTGAGCTGTCTGAAACAGAGGTTACTCAGAATGGCCATTACAATTTTAAATTATCTCAAAAGTTTACCCATTTTCGCTTGCTTACTTTTAGATCAAGAATTTGGGGAGAGTCGAAGCAGGAACCTCAGCGAAAGAGCAGATTTGGTTTCGTTTTCCTAGCAGGGCCGCTGACATCCACCAATCTGGCTTGTTTAATTATTTAATTATTTTCTTTTAAAGAGGCAGTAAAGTATCCTGATTTCATTTAGAAGCCCCAAAAGATTAAAATAGCTTCCTCATTGGTTGTTCCATTTTATAGCAGACTTTTTCCAATTGCATACACAAACACACCAGTTTGGGTAAACTGAAATTGCCCCATTTTGTCTGTTTTAAAGTGAGATCTCCTTTAGCATGTTTAGTTAGCATTGCCTGAAGGGTGGATTTCTATGCTCTTACAATATCAGGCTGTGGGGTGGGGGACGTTCCCCACTGAGACACAATGTTTATCCCCATAACATAATCTATAATACAATCAGGCAAAAGAGATGCAATCATTTTATGTAAAGTTGATTTAAATATACCAATTTTTACAAAATTTTATCAACTCTTATACCTCTAACTATAACTTCCATTAGGATTTCATCAACAAGTTTTGAATTATAATACTGTGTAGGGGAAGCATTCCCAGCTAGACATAACATCCATTTCCAAAAAACATTCAGGCAAAGTTGACATGACCTCTTCATATAATATTAGCTTAAACACTTTCATCTCTATAATCTTATTAACCTCAGCAGCCTAACAGTTTGTCCAAGCAGTTGCTGGTCAGGTTTCTCATTGTGATTTCTGCCTTCTGGCTTTTAAACTTTTTCATACTGAGGTGAATACAATGGGCCCATCTGAGGTCCTTTAATGTTGGGGGGAGAGGTAGGGGGTCCCTTTAGCCCCCAACCTTAGGCAGCATTTTATTAAAATGTTTGTTTTAACCTCAGTCATGTCTGTTTCATTCATCCCATGTTTTCTTTACTAACTAGCTAGAGATTTCCATGCTGCTGGGCTGAGTCCTGTGACTTTTCCCTTTCTGATTCCTCTTTGTTTATCCATCTTGAAATATTTGTTTGATTTAACTCCTCTGTCCTATTTACCTTTTTTTAAAAAAAAACATTAAAAATTTTCACCTTGTTCAAAAGAGTTCCTTTATTTTTCTCTCAGCATCTTTTTATTCTTCTGTTAACTTAATGTTTTCATTAGTGTCTTTAAGACCATGAAAGGAAACCGAGACCCCAAATTTGATTAAGCTCTTAAGACTAGTCATTGTATTTCCTTTTTAATTTGGTCTTTTCATAGGTACCAGCAAAACAGCTGTTTATGATAGCTCTCTAAAAAACTTGGAAGTTTTTCCAACTTAAGGATCCATTGTCTGGTCATTTTCTCTCCAGAGTCTAAAGAATATCATGGCCATGTGGTGTTACAAAAGAATATCATGTTCTTCTTAGATGTCAACTCATAACTATAATCAGACCATCTACTCAGAATCAGCCCCAATGACTCTGCTTCTGGACAGACTGCACATTCCCCATTCCAATACACAGAGATGGACAGACACACAGATCTAGACACAGAAAAAACAGACACCAGTGAACCAGTTCCTGGATTCTGAGTAAAAGAAGTCCTGCCACTATTCCCACTCCGGCAGGGCACCCTGTCAACCAGATGGTCCTGCCTCTCAAAGAAGGAGGACCACAGATAGAGGGGAAGGAAGTTCTGGGCTGTACACACCCGAGGCAACTTACCCTATTGCAGATTGAGCCATCCACTCACCAGAGACAGCTGTTTCTCTTTTCTACCACAGTCAGCATTCAGAGGCAGCTAGCATCAGTAGGGGAAATCAAAAGGGACAGATCCCCAAGGCAAAAGACGTCTCAGCAGCTGCTAGGGAATTACTCAAGAGATTGCCCATCCATCGGCTAGCCACGAGCAGAACTTAATTGTCCCATCTGGGTCGCCAGTTTTATTGCTGAGCAAGGGCTCAATCTGCTCGCTGCAAGACAAAAGCCAGTCAGCCCAGAGACAAGGTGGTCGAGAGAAAGAACTTTAAGAAGCAATAAGCCAGCAAATCAGAAGATAGTGGACTATCACCCAAAAAACCCCTCATAAAGGGGAACTGATTTGGAAAGGACTTATATAAGGCAAACGGGGTTGGGGAGGGGGCTCAGGAGTGTCAGGTGATAGTCAACCACAGAACACTGGGTGCCTGTCCCTAGCACATCTGCCGAATGCAACATTCCTGAGGAATCTAAGAAAACCTCAGTTGCTTCCTTACCTGAGAGAGAAGGACCAGTTTGTGCAGAGGACATAAATTTTCTGCGAACAAGTTATTCTTTCTACCGGGTACAGATAAGCTTGTCTATATGCAATTCTAAGCTTTTTTCCAAAGCATACTGTGAGAATAAGATGGGGAGGGGGGGCATGTGGATTTGGGCGCTGAAGTTCTAAGAGTCCTCTGCACAGGGGCGACTGTCTTTCATATTTCTTCATGGGTTGCATGTGCAGATTCGGGGGAGGAGGGTTCTATGTGTTGCATGCAGTGGATTTTTAGTTTGTGATCTGTAAAGCTTACAATTGGTCATTTTAGCTGCTCAGTGCTCCAGGGAGAGGCAGAGGACTGTCAACAATCTACTCCCTTTATCAGCGGTTCTTCTGCTGTTCTGCAAGGCAAGCTCAGAAAATTTGGTTACTTTATTTCCCTAACCTAGTAGATACCGGCGTGATTTCACCCTAATCCAGGGAAACTTTTAACTCCATCATTGGTTTCACATGTTCACCATATTTCCACATGGTGGCACCCATGCAGGCCAAGCGATGAAAAAGGAAGCCATGGCCTGGGATGAACTATATGGGAAGTGGGGGAGGTCACCGGACCTCAGCTGTGCAGCCTCACTGCTCATGTCATTGACCTGCTGGGACACAAAGATGCATCTGGGAAGAAAGATCTTAAATGACTTTTGCTGCCAGGTTCGCCAGCACATTATTTTCAGTATCTCTTTTAGTCTTCATAGGTCATTATTCCCACCTACAGATGGGGAAGTTGAGACTCGAGAAATCATGCCTCCAGAGGGTGTGTAGCTGGATTCTGAGTTCACATGGGCCAAAGTCCATGTTCTCTTCACTGTAGCAGGCTGTCTCCCTGAGACACAGTCCCTGACCTCAAAGAATTTGCATTTTTAGCAAGGGAGCTTAGACTTTTACTTGTGATAAAAGTGGACTGATTCCTGAGTCAGAGTCTAGGCTTGTTGCCAGAGACACATTGATGAACAAAAGTGCAAACTCTGCCTTGCCCTGGTGAGGTTGATAATCTAGTGATACATTAACAGAATCTGTATAGATAGAACTTAAACTAATCCAGGGGTGGAGAGAGGCTTTCCTGAGTGTGCAGTGGCATTTAATTTGTGATCTAAAGGATGAATAGAATAAAGTAGGTAAGGCAGACAGGATTGGAAGCAGAGAATAGCCTTCTAGGTAGAGGGAACAACATACGCAAAGGCCCTGGGGTAAGAAAAAACCCAAAGTATCAAGGTGGTTAGAGTCCAAAGTTCTAGGAAAAGGATAACTAAAGCTGGAGAGGTGGGCAGGGCAAGTTCTTGGAGGGCATAGGGAGTGGGAGGAGGGATTGTGCTGTGACCAAATTTTGCATTTAAAAAGAAAATCATTCTAGCTTCAGAATAAAGAATGCATTGGTGAGAAGTTGAGTGCAGGCAAAGAGATCGGATAGGAGCCTGTTGCAGTGGTTTAGGTGAAATGGGATCTGGTTTAGAAGAGAGAGGCAGTGAAGTGTATCAGTTAAGATATGAACTCTTAAGAGTGCCTCTGTTACTTTCTACCTATGTGAATTTGATCAAGTTACTTAACAATTCTATTTCCAAGTTTCCTCACGTATAAAATAATTGTGATCATCTACCTCATAGGGTTGTTGAAAGGATTAAATGCATTAATAATTGTAAAGTAAGTAGAATAATGTCTTGTGTGTAGGTCATGCTCAATTAACATCAGCAGTTATCATCAGCAGTGGAGACGGAGCAAGGTGGGCAGAATTAGTAGCTATTTACATCAGGTCAGCTGGACTTGGGATAGGGTTAGAAAGGTATTTGTGAATGTATTGAATAGTATGGTGGGATACAAATTGGCTGGTGACAGGAAAAGCTTGATAAGGGAAGCCAAAATTGAGCTGGACATTCAAGAACGTATAGGACTCGAACAAGCATAAACAGGTTAACTAGCATGGGTGGAAGGAATAAGTCAATGTTCTTCAATGCCTAAAACTGCTGAGAGGGGCAAGAGTTACATTTCACCTAACACTGTGTCATCCTCTTTCTTTGCCAGGAGTTCTCACAGTCTGAATCACAAATCTTAGTGGTTCTATACCATCCTTTCCTTCTCCTTGGGCAGATGCAGACCCATCTTCTTGCAGAGCTCAGGACCTCAGAATATCCTGTGATCTTGAAGAGGGAATTTGGGCTAAGCTATCCCTTCTGAGGCTGCCAAATCAGAGCTTTGCTTTCATCGAAAACATGCTTTTATGCCTAACTATCGCATTATTAGCTTGTAAATTCCCATTTTCTGGAAGGCAGATTGCTTTGTTCAAAATGCTCATGGCAGACACTATTGGTTACCCACTCAATAGCCATAACCCCTTCTTCCTTATTAACACATTCGGAATTTGATCAGCCCGTAGTATACTCGGCTCTTGGCTACATCCTGGTGTAAGCCAGTCATGGTAAGCACAATCCCATTTGCTGGATACTTATTTTCCCAGCTTCCTAGTAGCTAAAGGTGGCCAGTGATGACATTCTGACATGCAGGAAGTCAGCTCAGAGGCTTCTGGGAAATATTTTCCTCCATAATAAATAGACACAGATATGGGAAAAGAATTCCTTTCTTTTTTGGATGCTTTCATATGATGAGTGGAGATGCACCTGCTGCTGGTTGAGACTATGAGGAAAAATTAAGAGGGTTTCAGATGCACCAACCTAGTTCCTCTTTGAACATCATTGTATACATACATAAATAACATCATTGAATAATTAACCATCCCTGGAACTGCCTACTACCTTCATACTTCTTTTGTAAGATAATGAAATGTCATTATTGTCTATACCTCTGTTAATTCCAGCCAGGGCACCTCTAACTATTACACTGCTTTTTCGAAGAATCATATTATTTTTCGAAGGACTGCTAGCTACCTTCATTGTGTATTGTTTATATACAAATTTTAGGGTCGTTTATTCTATTTCTGTGAAAAATGTCATTGGAATTTTGACAGGGATTGCATTGAATCTGTAGATTGCTTTGGGTAGTATGGACATTTTAACAATATTAATTCTTCCAATCCATGAGCACAGAATATCTTTCCGGTTATTTGTGTCTTCTTCAATTTCTTTCATCAGTGTCTTATACTTTTCAGTGTACAGATCTTTCCTCTCCTTGGTTAAATTTATTCCTGTGTATTTTATTCTTCTTGATGCAATTATAAATGGGATTGTTTTCTTAATTTCTCTTTCTGATAGTTCATTGTTAATGTATGAAAACACAACAGATTTATGTTTATTGATTTTGTACCCTGCAACTTTACTAAATTCATTTATTAGTTTAACAGTTTTTTGGTGGAGTCTGTAGGGTTTTCTCTATATAAAATCGTGTGATTTATAAATAGTGATAGTTTTAATTCTTCCTTTCCAATTTGGATGCCTTTTATTTCTTTTTCCTGCCTAATTGCTCTGGCTAGGACTTCTAATACTATGTTGAATAAAAGTAGTGAGAGTGGGCATCCTTGTCTTATTCCTGATCTTAAAGGAACAGCTTTCAGCTGTCCATTGTTAAGTATGATGTTAGCTGTGGGCTTGTCGTGGAACATACCTATCCTTGATGCTGAGTTCAGACTGGAATTTCTCCTAGATAGACATTGTGTCTTATAATTATGCTTAATAACTCTCCTTTGTAAGGTAGAGTTTCATAGGATTGCCTCTGTTGAGCACCTCTGACTTGAGCTGAAGATGTGGCAGAAAGAAGCGATCCATAAAACTATTCTGCAGGGCTGAGGCTATGGGGAGGGTCAGTGGCAGATGGTCCAGGCACCCAGCTCTTGGCTGATCTGAAATGACCTGGAGATAGACTTCAGG